TATTTTACTTTTCTCAAATCAACATATGTTAGATTTTAACATGAGTTGGTAAGAATGTTAAACAGTTGAACATTCTAATGTTCAACTCTTTTGAAGTCTTTGCTCTGCTCATAATGTTGACCCTTCCCTGTGTTGTTGTTTTAAAATCTTTTATTGTATAGAAGTTTCTTAAAGGCTTTGATGATATCTATTGCTGTCTCTTTCCTCCAACCTAAATAGATATTTTAGATAGATTTAGAAAAGTCTAATAGAAAAAAATCTGATAGATAAAATTAAGAAAAAGTATTAGTTACTACTAAATATAAGAAACTTTGTCTTATATTTGTATAAGATTTTATAGAACAAATATGTCTTTTTCATTTATTACACTTACTAGAGAAAAAATTTAAGCCAGTGATGTTTTGGGGGGAAGAAATCAAATTGGCAGGAAATATCAAGAATATTAAAACAAATTTCATATCATTCAATTGCATAACTCTAAAGAGACCACATTATATACAAATGCTGCAGATAAAGATGAAATAATTGAAAAATCAAGTGTAAACAAACTCAATTCACTTTACAAAAAATAGGGAAGAGCTAATAAGTGAGACATTAGCATTCATTAAAATTTTTATTTGTGAAAAAAATAATGGCATAGAAAAATAATGATGACATATTGACTTTTAAATTGTGGAGAAATACGTCTGGAAAGAAATACTCTGGAGGGAAATATAAAAACATACTAAAAGAGCTGTTTGGTATTCTGCTTCTGTCTGCTTTCAGGTACTTGTCACTTCATTTTGCAATGTATAGTATTTTACATTATCAGAAATAAATTTAAAATCTAATTCCTGTCAAATACATTTCTCATTTAATATTTTACAGCACTTCATGAGTTAAAGCAAGAAGAATAATTTTCCATTTTATAGTTGAGAAGACTAAGTAATTTCTCAATTGGAGGAGTTTAAAATAAAGCCATATCCTCCATGGTCAGCTTCAATGCTTCTTCTATGATATCATACTAGAATAATATAGAAGATAATATATATAAACATTCTATAAGTTTTTCCTGATAAAAGCACAACTGTAATTTGAGATATGATTAATCATCTTTATTTGCTCTTCTCTATAAATTCCTAATTTTAATTGAGTAAAAAAAGAGTATGAGATCTGACAAATGTTAATAAAAAGGATATAAAAATAAGTGAAATATGTCAAGAATAAAAACTAATAATTACATCTATGTTTGATTTCCTATGATAGCAAGGATTAAAAGAAAATCTAACCTCTTTTGTTTTACTTGAGAAATATGCTTAACATGGTACTCCAAGTAAGAAGGAAGAAAGTCATATGAAGAAAGTAATGACTAATGTAAAAGAGTCAATAAGGAAAGACATGAAGGGTAAAATAGTTAAATAGATTTGAAAAATAACTGGTAGGTTTCTAATAAAGAAATCTATTTTAATGAGTGAGAAATTAAAATGGAAACAGATATCTTTATAACTATTTATTGAACATCACTTACAAGGCATAATTAAGAGACTAAAGCAATCAACAAGATTTTAGCCAGGCTCTTTTCCACAATTATACGCCACTCTAGTAGTAGACATAGTTAACCCTTGCACATCCATACTCTCACCACTTATGCTGGCCCCTTTCCCTCATCCAGCATACAGATGGCCAGTGCCAGACAGTGAGTAACTTGAGAGCAGAGATTACCTTATCTATATTTGTATGTGCAGAAAGAACCTAGCCCACTGCCGGTGTGTATATATGTGTATCTGCATATGGAATCAAACTTATTTCAACAGCCAGAACCAAATCACCTCAAAATTGCATGTGTTAGAGAAAAACGCATAATAGATCCCAAGTTAATTAAATAATATGAAAGATTATCTGCATCAGGTAAATTTGCTACTAGTTGCCTATTCCGTTAGGTAAATATATGCATATTCATACAGAGCTAACAAGTTTGATGAATTTCAAACTAAGCCATTTCACAGGCAGCGAAAGGCTCACAAGGGTCACAAATTTAAAAGATTATAGCCAGACAAAGTTAATTATTTGAAGTTAATTGTTTGAGACACAGGTGCTGAGAATTATTTCTCCAAGTGCAAGAATGATAACAAATGGCAACTGACCCTTAGCCTGAGGGTCAGGGGCACAATTATAAGGAGTTATGGACTAGGCTAAACTTTCATGCCACTTCTATATGGGCAGTTTCTACTCAACTCCACTTGATGGTACCAACTAGAAATTCTGGGCCATTTCAGCAAGATCTTCTGACTTATTAATAGCTGGAAATCCAGATTTTTATTTAAGACATCTAATTTTTAAAATGTTGGTAATTTTAAAAAATGTGAAATACTATGTAGGCCAAGTAAAACACATCTACAAAGCATATTTGGCATACAAGTTCCTAGTTTATGACCTCTGGTTTAACAATTTGATTACCCTGTATTTGTACACAGGGGCTGGCTGGTTAGCTCAATTGGTTAGAGTGCAATGTTATAACACCAAAGTCAAGGGTTTGGATCCAGGTACTGGCCAGCCACCAGAAAAAAAAAAAAAGATAAATAATTCCTAATGGTATCTGAGACCAAATGCCAATATAGTTGCACATATATTTGAGATATTCCTGAAAAGTCATATAATTTGATTACTAAAATGTCAAGGAAACATTACTGATTAAAGAACACTAAATATTTAGGATTACATACAATATTTTTCCATAGTCATAATTTCATAAATACCAGGCATTTCACAAACTCTATGTATTATGAAAATGAAAATACAAAAGCCCAGATGCTGACAATAGAATAGTAGATGTAACTATTGTTAAGATTTACTTTAAATGTACGATAAATGAGTTTAGGTCACAAGTTCAAGTGGTTCTCATCGCATACAGATGCATGATTGTATTTCTGAATGATGACTAGTCAATTATAGTGATTATAAAGTTCCACCATAACTGACATTTTAATGAAGCATTCCACTAAGAAAACCAAAATTTCAACCTCATTTTAATCACTTTAGCTATTCAGAATTCTGTTAATCAAGTAGAAAAAAAAAAAACTGTCTTCAACACCTAGAATGATTTATCTGTTTGTACGAATGTGAGAAAAATGAGCACATCTTCAGGTAATAGATTACAAGTACAAAGGAGTTCACATTACAGCTATGCTGATGAAAATTACCTGCAGGCTGTTAATACAGAGCCAGTGAATTAATTAACCTTTTGCCTTAAAAATCTAGAAACTTCAGCAGACTGATGTTTCTCTGTTTCTCCTGCTCCAGCTCCCTCAGCATTTTAGAAAATAAAATGATGTGCAGTTACTGAAGCAAACAAATAAAATATACTGTGATTTTATTAGTTATAATGTTACTACAATAAGACTACATAAATTGTGGCTAAAATATGGCAACTTAGATGATTCACATTTTGTTTTTATTAATGAAAGATGGGTAATAATGGTTGATTTCTTTACTTTTATAAATGAGATCAGTAATATCTTTTATAAATATTGGTTACTTATTTACCTTTTGACTCTGTGAGAAAATAAAGTTAAATAAAGCATGTCTTTTGCCAATATGTTTTTTCTTAAATAAATGTCAACATGCATTCTTATAAATTTCAAGTGAGTAAACACATTATCTATATTTAAGTGTATTGATCAAGCATGTTAACAGTTCTCACCTGATATGAAGCTTAAAAATCAGGTAACACTGAATAAAACCAGGATCTGGGAAAAGAGGATTTCTAATACATTTGATGGTAATATGAGCCGTTGAATTTCCTCAGGTTGTTAAAGGCAAAGATCAGTAAAATGTGGTGAATGTGAAGATTATACAAGACTTAAGAACTACTAAATTACACTTTAAATACTGACATGATAATTTGCATGTCTTTATGCAAATGTTAGGAGCCACAGTTTTTTCTCTTTGACATAGTAATATCTCCTTAAGAGGTTAACAGCCCCCAATAATTAATTTTTCAGTAAGAAATAATTACAGGTATTCTCTTCCATTAGCCCATCTTTACAGTTTGATTTTAATTAATTGATTATATAATTAAGCAGTAAACGATAGATAAGTTATCCCCTCAGTAGGGGTTATCAGACATTGTTGTTTAGATAATGGGTTAAATGTAAATTGTTTTAGAACGTTAGGATATTTCTCTGTTGTTCCAACAGAATAATGATGAGCCAAATTAGCCTTTAAAGAGCTAAACTAGTGAATGCTTCCCAAAATATTTTTCAGCATATCAATTTTTGATTGCAGGTAAGAGGCCCACAAAAATGTCTTAAAGTAGGAAGATCATACTTTTGTGTGAATAAAGTGGGTAATACTTATCTAAACAACTAAAGATGCATATGATATTTTTTTTCTGTATTAAGGGTAAGCACATATTTTGCTAATAAATATTTTAAGTTAAGTAGCTTTTTTAAGTAATTTGGAACAAACAATAAATCCTTCATAATTGTTAATATTACAATTTTCCAAATGGATCTTTCTGTTTTTATATATAAGGAAAACACCTCTTTAAAGGTGATAAATTTAGAATTTTTACCAAAATATTTTCAGTTATTTCAATTTTGAGAACAGTCCTACTATAAAGCATATACTTTTAGGTAAGAAATACATTTACTTGAAGTGTCAAAGCTAGCCCATTTCTGTCATATAGAAGATTCAAAATAAATATATTTTGAATGTAAGAGTACAAAAAACTTCGAAAGGTATTTGGCATTTCTGCCAATAGTTGTTTGTTATGCTAATTTAAACTAGATTTAATATTGCCACTTGTTCTTATATTATTTTGTAAAGGGTGACAATGTGTGTGTGTATATATATAAATGGGTGACAATGTGTGTGTGTATGTGTGTGTGTGTATATATATATATATATATAAAACAAGTATATGACTTCAAAACAATTAAAAATGAGAATACAAATTTATAATATTTCTTAATTATTATAGGAATACACATTCTATCTTTTGGGAGATCTGATCTACATACCTGACAGGTAATGTTCTGTCTCCTTTCCTCCTATCCATTTCTCTTTGGGGAACAGGATACCAGCGGAAATTCAGCTTCCAGTTAAATCCCCCATAAGTCATGTCTGACCCAGCCATATATTCAAAGGTATCATCACTAATCACATCAATGATGGGACATACAACGGTTTTCCTGCAGAAAAATTAAAACCAGTTTGCATATAAATTATAATTTAGATGTTACATTATCTTCTTCAAAACTTACAGCTGATGTGATGAAATTTAATTATTCTGTGAATTTAATATGCTTTTAGTTATGGAATTATTTCCTTTAACTATATCTTCCTTACAGTCTACTTTATGCTATCATGTGAACTCTAATCAAATATACTAATTGACCTTCAAGCTGATTTCCAAATGCATTCTAAGTACTAATGAAGTAGAATGAGCATGGTCTATTTTTCATAAAACCTCCACCCACAGCATGATTAGTAGAGTTGCTTTGAGATTATGCATCATTTTAGTTATAACTCACTGAAAAGCAATAACAAGCAGGAAGGGGAGAATGGATTATGGCAAATTAGATCTGGTAGTTTGCATTTCAAATGGGGTAAGTTAGTTTAAAGATAACTCGGAGAAAATCTTCATAGAGAAAACACCTACTAGGAAAAACAACAAACAAACAAAAATCAACAAACGACAATAAATTCATGACCTATCAGTATAAATAAACGTTTTTTATAAAGAATAATGGGGTCATGATAATTTCTGTGTGAATCGAACTGGAATTAAGAGTTTACAGTCAAAATCTAGATAATTTAAAATACGGAAAAACAAGAAACCTTAGTCTCTGGTGTTTTAACCCACTTAAAGTAAGAGTAGGAGCCAGGAGTTTTGGTATTCTTGATGGTAGCTTTTTAGGGTAGAAAATTTTGCTTAGGGAGATCATTAGGTACTCTTTTAATCCATGTTGTGCCTTTTCCTGTTCTTCCTCTACTCTCAGTTTATGTGTTTTATTATGGGATGAACCTTTCTGTTATCTCGATGAGTAAGTATTCAGGTCTATCCAAGATCGCATTGGTTGTAGCTACTTCTTAAGACCAGAGCTTGTTTTTCATATTTGGCAGTAGGTAAATAAATATACAAATAGGCTTCCGAATCAACCATAGATGTTGAAAAAAAGAAATGTTGTCCATTATTGATTCTTGTTTTGTAACACCAGTACCATTTACAATTGAGTCTTATATTCCACACAATTCGTCAAAGCCTGAAGTTCTCAGAAAACAACAGGATTCATTTGGCCTTGAAAAGCTTCTTGGTGGCTCTGGACCCAGAGAAATCAGTATCTTTCTCTCCTTCTTATTCAGGTTTAACAATTTAACTTGTGAGAAAAAGAAATTAGATCTAATAACCTTGAACAGACTTTATTCTCTAGTCATGGTAACTTTACAATTTATAATCAGGACAAGAGATTAGGGTTCATTATCTGCAAAACAATGTAGCATGTTGTTAGATTAAAAATAAATGACCTATACATGACCATATTTAAACATTATATTAACATCTTACTAAGTTGAATATGAAACACATGTTTTAAAAAGTAGTATAATGTAAGAAAAGTTGACAGGAAATGCATTTAAGATGTTCTATGTTCATTTTACTTTCCCAGTCTTACTCTCTTGTGGGTACTGTATAATACACTGCGTGGAAAAATGGTATTAGCTGTGTACTACATCAGTTGACTAAAAGGTTCCTACTGCTTTCTTCAACTACTGTGGTTCATTTTACTGACAGCCTCTATCCATCTTCCTGGCAAGTTTCAAATCCTGCCATTTAGATGGTGTAGCTGAACTAGCTCAGACTAAGCAGCTCCTGTCTTGGATGTCTAATTAAAAAATTCTAGAAAGACTTTTCTACTGTAAGTGAAATGACTATGCAAGCAAGGTGTTATGTGATGCTTTGTTATTACATCATACAGCATCCAATGTTTGCTATGTTCAATAGGTGCTTAAAAATTATACTTATTTATCACCAATGTTTATGAATATCTGCAAAAAACACCTTGTACTTCCCAGCGTCATCATCAGAAAGAATTGCAGATATGTATGAGGGTTCTTAATTTATCTAAAGTGTCACTCAGTTTTTCAGATTTCACAATTTACTACATAACTTCTTTTTCCTTCCTATTATTAGGCATTACCTACCTCACAGGGTGGTTGTGAGGACATAAAATCTGCTTTGAAAGTGTGCTTTATAACATATTGTACTATTTCAGATTGGACTGATTTTCTTCACTTTGGAAATGAATATTCTACACATTTTTATTGTTTGACTTATTTTTAAACCAAATACCTGTATTCAGCATGAATAAGTCAGTTTTATTTATTAAATAAGGGGGAAAACCTATTTTTAAAAAAGCTATAAGACTTTTGAAAATAGCAACTTGGAAGAGAAATTCTGATGAACAGCTGGAACTGTCCTAACAGGTTCAGTCATAACCCATGCAAACATAACACATGAATTCTTACCTGTCTTCCTTTATTCTTGCCAGCAAGGGCTCCAGCCATCCTAATGTGCATTCACAGTGTGCATCAAGAAAAGTTATGACCTGCCCTTTTGAAGCAGCTGCTCCTCGAAGACGGGCACGTATTAACCCAGAGCGCTCTTCCATCCTAATAATTTTTACCGGTACTTCTAAATTTTTCACGTAATTCTCTAATGTCAACTTGAGAAAATCTGTAACACGCAACAAGAATTTGTAAGAAAAATTTGAAGCTGTTTCAGAGATGCTGCCAAGATGAAAATTCGGTACACCGAAATGGTGGACAACTCCTATCAAAATTTTTTGTTAGGTGAAATAAAACAATAGAGATTTCATCAGTTAATTAATGTCATGTATCTACTAATTCATATAAATGCTCAATAATAAGATCAATTGAGTTATGAAAAAAGAAACATTTTGGGAAGTCATTTTGGCTGATTTCTTAGGTTAGTAATAGTAAAATAGAACTATGAGAAAAACTGAAATAATTAGTTACTTGTTTCTGGAGTTGGCATTAACATGGTATATTGATAAAAAACTGATAGGTGGTTGCAGGGCTAGTAAAATCATAAAGCAAATATGGATTGTTGCCTAGGTATCTTTTTGACCATAATAAAGCTTTCTAATTTAAAAAATGCAAAAAAAAAAAAAATTATACCTCTTTCACTGGCATCATCTACCAAGATGACCTCAGAGAGTAGATAGTGTGGAGAACGATTTATAACACTGTAAACAGTTCTAAGGAGAGTGCTCCAAGCTTCATTATGAAACACAATGACTACACTTGTGTTTGGAAGTTCATCAGGGTAGACTTTGGTCTTGCATCTGAGGAAGAAAGAAGAGGAATATTAATAAGTTCATTTTCCATCCTGATCATCATCATAAGAAATAAACCTAATAACACAACTTCAGGCTTGAAAGCCCATTACTAAGGAAATGTTTTTTGAATATCTAAAATCGTTTTCCTTTTTATAAGTACCATGAGTAATCACATGGCATTTTGAAAACTAAATATGCATAATTGCTAGTATTTTATTTTAACTCCTGCAGGGAACAAAGCAGCATGATTTCCATAAGTCTAAAAAAACCTAAGAAAGCTAAAATAACATTCTGAGACTGTCAGTAAAAGACCAGGTACAACAGAGACAGATGAATTCATTTAGTGTATATAATTTTATTTGTTTAGGAAAAAAGCGTTATCGTATAACTCAAAAAGTCATAAGAACATAAATAGACATATGTCCACAGGGTTTTGGTGCATGTAAAACTGAGATTATTTTTCTGTTCTAAAATCTAATCATGAATGTTTTTCATTACATTTGAGAATGCTATAAACCATGCCAACTTTCAAGGATAGATTTAGGGGCCAGGATGCAGAATCTGCTAACTGCATCCTGGCTCCTAAAATTTCCAAATTTCCTGGGCATCAGGAAAGAGAATGGGCTACCGTCACTTCTCAAACTTTAATATGCATAGGCGTCCCCTGGGGATTTGTTAAAATGCAGTTTCTAATTCCCTCGGTCTGGGGTGGAGCCTGAGATTGTACATTTCTAAAAAGCTCCCAGGTGATTCAGATGTTGCTGGTCCCTGGAGCACACTGATTAGTAAGGGGCTACACCATAATTGTCATTATTTTTAGAACTTAATATTTTGAGAAAAGCTTTTAACTTTCCTTATTAATAAAAAAAATTCCAGATTTTACATTTTCAGCAATCAATTTAAAAGGTATATTTGGACAAATAATACATGTAGAGTTCTGGATGGTCATCTCAAATTTAACATGCAGATGGTCATTGCCCCTGACAACTTGTCAACCTTCAGACATTTCTGTCATGTAATTTCAAATCACCCTGATTACAGGTTATAAAAAAAAAAGTGTCATGAGATATCTGGCAGGAATAGAAGTTTATTCACCATAGGTTATTTTTCATGAAAACTATCTGAAGAGCCAGAGAATTAAAATAATTCCATAAAATAATATAAACCAGATGCTTCCTGCCACTTATGAACGACCTAATACGTGACATAATATAACATTGTTAAAATTAGTTTCCTTCACAAGTGAGTGAAAAAAATCCAGTAAAATGTGGGTGATAAAAAGCACACAATAAAACACTGATTGTGTACCTATTGATATCTTACTCATCTTTTAAAATGGTGTAAAATATCACCTACTCAGTGAAGTCTTTGCAGTATAACCAGGTAAGAATGTACATATACCTTAATTATAATATCTTTCCAGCATATGTGTATTTAGAAAACATTTATTAAGCATCCACAATATAAAAGATATTGTGCATATAAGATAATCAAAATGTAGCTGGTGAGAAAAGTAGTTGAATTCATAGCCATATCCTTCCTTTCTGGTGGCAAGATTCAACCCAAGATGATTTCTATGTGCTTTACTATCATTTGACTGGTACTTCCAGGAAGCTCATCACAAAATGAACTTAGAAAACCATCTTGGTAAGTCAGAAGGATTCTCTCTACCATTTCCCTCAAACCTCCACGCTCCTGCCTCATCTAAAAATCCCATCACTTTCAGCATGCTAAGCAGAAAATATGGTAAATGTAATCATCATCATCAAAAAGTAAAGCTGGAAAAACAGGCTGAAAATAGTTCAACAGTCAACAACCAATGGTTTAACCCAAGGATTATAGTCAAAAAGGCTACTCAGCATCATTTGAAAAAAAAAGATTTCTTTTAAATCAGATGTTGTGTATGTTACACTAAATGCCAGTATAGAAAACACAGACAAAACATGAATTTACTTAAATTATTTAAGTTTTAAAATAAAAAGATATTTAGATCCACCGTCTTAAACCATTCTATTGAGCTTACATTTGCAGTTAAAAAAATCTACCCACAAATGTTAATTTCATATTCATTATATGTGTCAAAGTTATAATGAGCTAATTTACTATTAATGCAGCTATTATGCTTACTTGGAGAAAATTTCCACTATGTCATTATTTAATGTAGCATAAAAATAAAATGTGGCTAGTATTTTTGTTAATTCTTCCTCTTCTTCCTATGTAAACAATCATTCATCAAAGGGTACAAATGTTCAGTATGCAGAATGAACAGGTTCTGAAGATGTAATGTACAACATGGTAATTATAGGTAATACTACTGTATTACGTACTTGAAATGTACTAAGAGAATTGATCTAAAGTCTTTTTAACCACACATAAAATAATGATGATGTCAAGTGATGAATATGTTAATTAGCTTGATTGTGGTAGTCATTTCACAATGTGTATGTATAACAAAACATCAAGTTGTGCATCTCATCAAAAGATAATACAAATCCTCCTAAGAGCTTTTTGAAGGCCCTTGTACATACAATTTTTATTTGTCAAATACACCTCAATTAACCTGGGGGTAAAAGTCATTTAGCAGAGAAGACTTTGTGTACTAATAAAGTAATTTATAGGATAATTCTTAAGCCATACAAATTAATCATTTTCTATGTCAGTTTATCCAATTATCCCAAATGCATAGTTTTGTATGAACAAGAATTATTATTTTCATGGTTTGTGCTACATCGAACTGCTGTTATTGTTTGTATTTCTTCAAAGCTATTGTTTCGGCTGTGGTGGATTTTATGTACCACGAGGAAAGAAAACAACGTCAAATAAACTATAGCACGATACCTTCTCATCACTAGGATCTCTTTAATACTCAAATAGAGCTAATAGAAAAAGCTTTTAAATTTATTTGGGCATAGATTTCTATCAAAATTGTCATACTTGATTTATGAATCAGTCATACCCGTTTCTTTTTGCTCTGAAGTTTCTTTCACCTATTCTAAGGGGCTTTCTCCAGCTTTAAGTTGTATTGCATAGCATATGACAGGCAAACATTTAGAACATACCTCAGCAAAAAAATATTTAAAAAGTTTCAACTTCTTGTGGATATCATCCTTGGTATTATTAAATGCTGCTTTTCAAACTTTAAGGTGCAAATGAATTATGTTGGGATCTTGTTAAAA